GTTGATTGTTGAATCGGGTGGCAAATAGGTCTATCAGATGAGATCCTATTTCCATGATTATCTGATTGAATATCTCTGTGTGGAGCATCCATTCTGTCGGCGACGATTTGAATGGCAGGCCGAGAGCCGCCTGCTAACATTCTTTGCTCCTGGAATGTGGCAGGCTTTGATACGTATAAGTTTAGACTGTCGCATCAATTCAAATGTTTGAAACACCGAGTGCGAAGATTCAGTGATCTTGTTGACCCTTTGTTTGTTCACATAAAACGCCACTGTTGAGTTGTCTGTGTGTGAATCATTAATCTGAGCTGCTCTGTAATAGGCTGCTCCAGTGACCTATGGCGCTTATGACTGCTTGCATTTCTAGCAGATTTATGTGACATAAGCTCTCTTGAATGCTCCATAGGCCTGACGCTGTCCCCGCCGGTAAATGTGGGCTCTCTAACCTTTTAGTGACGCTGTCGTCGACGAGAGATGTGTTTCCGACCTCGGCCTCTACTAAGGAGACGCCATGAAACATTCAATCTCTTGGTCCACCAGAGTAGATGTAGGGTTTGATGTAATCTGGTAGACTGAACGTAGAGGGTCCTCGAGATGGGCATTGATGAGGACTTGTAATGGACGTGAATTGAAACCTGCCTCTGAGTGTCAAGTCTTGAGCTGATGTGAGTAGTCCCAGTAGCCTCTGCCACTGACGAGTGGTAACGAGAGTAGGGCTTGGGGATCAGTTGTTGTATCTTGATCCATCTGTCCCTCCGACTACCATGACGATTCTTGCGAATACCAGGAATCGTATACCTAGAAACTGCAGATCCCGCGTGGGCTCTAGGTCCGACTTGAGTAGATTTTACTAACCAGCCTAACTGCTGCTAGTAGCTTGATTGTAAAGTTCAGCTTGTAGTCTGAGACGCCAGGATCTGGATCCACCTGCATACCGTCGTCTAGGTAAAATGCATTCCGCAGGCCCTGGACGATGTAGGTATGAGACAATAGGGCTTGGTTACTCTTGTGAATATCCATAAATAAGTGATTCCGGAGGAAGTACTTTCCATTGGTAGTGTATTCTCGCTTAGCATAAATCTCAGATATTTCCCTTGAACTGTGATGAATCGGAATGTGTAGGTATGGCCCCAGATCTATACTTACCATGTAATCTAGTGGGACGAATTAGATGACGGAGTTGAGGTAAATGTATCATGCAAACGCTGGTGGTTTGCATAGAAATTCCTCTGTTGAATGTGCCTCAATGTTGTAAATGAGACGAGTACTTCTCTTTGGAATTCTTTTTCGCACTAGGAAACTGGGAGTAAAAAACCTGGTATGAAGCGTTTGCTTGATCGAACTTCTAAGGCCTGTTTGTTTAGTAGAGACTGAACTGTTTCTCTTAACATCGGTAGTTGTGCCAGATGAACGCTGAACCCTGGTGGGTTGACCGTTAACGGTGGCTTGGCCTTGAGTTGTAGACGATATCCGCATCTGAAGGATGTTGGATACATACACGGATCTTGAAGTATTCCCAGTTTTCCCAGTGTGAAGTTGTAGACGTCCACCCACTTGAGAAGGTTGAACTGGGACGACTGGGGTGGAAGACTCCAGTCGTTCAACCTGACTTTCATCAAGCTTAAATCTATCGGCACCTCTGGATGATCTGCTCTCTCAGCTGATCCTCCTGAACTTGTTGTACGGGCTGCATCAAAGGAATCCTTGGGATTATTAACGGCCGCTAATTTCTTTATCCGCTCTCTGTAGCCCTGAAAACTTGGACTTGCCCGAAAGTACCTCTGTGCTGATTGTTTAAAGACGTCGGCGCCATCCGTATCCATAGATTTGATCATGAGTACTTCTCTAGAATCTTTTGATACTTCCTTGGAGACCTTGCTAATGTTGCCACCAAATTTTCAAAGTAAGGGTGAAGACCATGGAGCTGTGTATAGGGCTCTGTGAATTGTTTATTCCAAGAGCAGGAGGCTAGTAATCCTTGCCGACGTGTCATGGTAGTAGTTTCAGTAAGTGCTGAAAGATGGTCTGTAAGAATTGTTGATCTTTCTCTGCATAAGTAGAGCTGAATAGATCATCCTGTCTTCCTCATCCGTGGAGTTCTTGAACTTGGTGATGAGAGCTTCGCAACAGTCCTAGATCTGTTGAGTCCAAAGAACATCCTCCTGAAATGGTATCTAACTGGGCCATCTCTGGGCGATCGTCTCACCCTATAACTTCTGGACTTGGAATCACTGATAAGTTTAAAGTTTTCATCAATCTCCTGAGTCTTGGAAAAAGGGCTCCATATTATGTCCATAAAACTCTTGGCATTGAAGAATGGTAAATGGGTAAGTTGAGTTTGAAGCAGATTTGGGAGTAGGCTGTATCCAGTTTAGCAGGAACGGCTGCATAGGGATCCATAGGAGGCACGGTGATATGATCTACATCATCATCTAGCATCAGGTAAGTTTGGGCTGTATCCTCGCTCTTAGAGGGAGAGAGGCCAGTTGTAATTCGCTTACCATCCACCTTATCTCAGCCTCTGAGAAAATGATACCATCGCCCTCCTCTGACGATTATGGTTGTGGATGTCGGAGTCCTCAATCTGTAAGAAGATCTATGGAGGACTGAGGAGAACGGACTGACGAGTGGCTAGTGTATGTAGACCTTGGAGAAGACATCCTTCGCGGAGATTGTGGGCTTCGTGAACGGTGATGGCTTCAAGGACGCCTGGACTTCTCGAACGCTGAGGGCTACGCTGATCGCCTTCTAGGCGTGTAGAACCACTTAGCCTTCGCGCCCCACGCTAATGTCTGGAGTCAGTGTCCGATCCGACGCTATGAGCGCTTTGCTGGACGCCTCTTCGTGTGCATGACAAGGTATGTGCTGGCTAAGCCCTTCTCCTCAGCTGGGCTCCTGCAAAAGGTGAGGCTCTGGCTCCTTCCACAGAGGCGGCCTGGGATACCTTATGCAAAGAGCTCACCCGGCAGGGTTGTCCAGCGAGGCGGCGCTCTATGGGCTCAGAGGCCCCACGCAGCTGGGCGTGCTCTGAAGGCCCTGTATGACTTAATATGGGGTGGGGCTCTGAGGCCCGTGGCTCTGAGGCCTGTAAGCCGTGAGCAGTCTTCCATCACCCCTCACTATGTGGTTGATCAAGTCGCCTGAAGTGGTTCGGCGCTGATGAGGATGTCTCTGCAGAGGTGACGGACCCTCAGATAAAATTTCTGGAGATAGAGTCGAAGACTCGGCTGTGTGTGTTCATCTGCGCTGAGGTGACAGTCGCAGAAACAGGCCGCTTCTTGTGACGAACTTCTGAATGATAATAGGCAAATCATCATCATATAATGCTAATTCTGTAACTGGTAAGATATCAGAGGCAAAATTATTAGATTTTGTTGACTTCCCTTTAGATGAAGGTGTGTAGATCTTGGTGTACGAGTGTAATGAGAGATGATATGGATGGTTTCCTCGACTTGACTGAGAAGACGGCAGCTCTTGAGATGCAGGTCGCCTTGGACATAGCGGATCATACCCCACGCTTTCCGCCGAGGGAAACTTCAGGCATGCCACCAGCTGGTGGCGGTCCTCAGTCAACAGCTGACATGAAAGCCATTAATTTGCGATCTATTATCCATGTTTGAATTCTGTTTACGGGATTTTATCTGCTGTCCGCCTATAAACGAAACATAAATATTTGTCAAAGGCAGAGATAGGTAAATTGATACAAAATTCTACGAGAATCAAAGGAACATGGAGTAATGCAACTAGGGCATTTTAAATGTGGATCGGTATCAGAATAACGTAGTTTACATTCTGTGCAATTTTCATTAATGTAGCCTACTGAACAAACATCACGACTCTACCGTGAATAAAACAGCAGAAACACAATTAATAATCAATGCAAATTGAATAATTATACTAGTACTACCTCTATACTAACGTATAAGAGGAACTAACTAAATATAATTAAAGGATATAGTGTGTTGGGAGACACAGGCGCTCTCACGTCCAGCTCACTGGGCGAAGAAGGAGAGAGTGAGGCACATGGGCTTGGGTGGCGCCCTCGTTCCCGCGCTTACGGAAGGGAGGTAACTCGTGGTGAGTACTAATGAGTGATTCTTTATTGAAGGGAACTTCAATTGGGAGATACAAGTGTTCCACTAGGTTCGCCAGAAGAAGAAGACAAGCAAATAAGCATGAGTTAGGATAAGAAAAAATATGGAGTCATAGAGAATAATTTGAATTTACTACCCACGTGGTCAAGGTATGGGTGGTCGTATCACATTGACCTGTGTCGTAACGATTTGATTGATTGATTGGATAACCGATGACTTCTCAATTTGGTCACATTGTGACAGAACTACTTTTCTCCTTCATAACAAACACGTGAATTCATTCATTCTACAACTTATTTGGATTGTTGGAATGTAAACATTGCGAACGTTGCCCTATCACTGTTTAATTGTGAGTCAAACTGAGACATTATATCCGTCGAAAAACATAAACGCAAAGTTTCCACCTGATGTTACCAACCTGTGACCTTCCTATGGTTTTTGACATTGCTTTCGCTCGGTCAGATACCATAAGGAGAGACACTCGTTTCGTATAATTTGTATGTAATGAGACCTTGTGTAGTATTCTCTATGTATGTCTCACATCCAGTAAACTTTATCCACGCCACTTATGATTTTGGAGTAACACTGAACAAAGCATGGGTATTATGTTTACCCTCGCCTTTTCTCCAAATTTGAATTTTGGGGAAGAGTTAAAGACATATTTCATGGATTAAAACAACATTATATAACAGGAGTATCAGTGGAACCAACCCATCTCTTCTCCTTCTCCTCAGACTGGGGCAGGTTCTTGCTGGTCTGCTGCTGTTGAGGTGCTGCAGCTGACATTCTCAGCTCCTGTGGCATCGCTATCAGCTCGACAACGTGAATCGGAACAGACAGAGCTGGCTTGGTTTCTCAGAGCTGGCAAACAGGACTGGTGATGGTCGATTCTTCAATGTTGTTGGATCACTTCCAGACTTGCCACCCAGTTGCAGAAGTCATTAGTGACATTGGTGATGTGCTCCCTTCCTGTGGAGAGAAGGGGAGATAATCAAATAAAATTGTTCATCCTCCAGCTCCAGCAATTTGTGCATCCCAGGCCTGTCCTTCAATCCACTTCCAGGACAGGAAAATATTTTGCAAACCAATTTATGGCTATTGGCCTGAAAATTATGGTAATGGCAGATTCTGCTGTTAGTAAGGCATTTAATCGTTTATGTGTTTGGTGCTAAACAAATTTACAAGAGATGATTAGGATCATTACACAGCAACTTTCTTAAATTTGTTGTCAGAGATCATGCAGGAATGAACAACTCAACATAGATGAATAGATACAGAGCAATAATCTGCTGAAATATTGCAGTTTCTCTGTAAAACAAACCCTATGATAATATCTTTACACTGGGCTTCTCTGGTCAGTGCAAGCGTATTGGAGGAGGATGATGATTCTTACGCTCAATTCAGTAAATGAACTACACAGGCTTACTAGAAACAGTGAACACTGGTTATAAAATACACCCGGGACTCATCATGGATACCCAACATTTTACAAATGCACATAAAGCAATAATATAAACTAAGGATTGAAGCATCTTCTTCTTCATTGGTATTTCTATCAGTGAAAAACAAGTCAGCTCTAGAAAGCCACACCATTAGTTATAACTGTACTTTATCATTAGTTATAACAGCTGTTGTACCATTAGTTATAACTGCACTTTACCATTAGTTATAACAGCTGTAATGTACCATTAGTTATAGCTGGAATTTACCATTAGTTATAACTGTAGTTTACCACTAGTTATAGCTGTAATTTACCGTTAGTTATAACTGTGAGGTGAAATTGGGTTTGTCGTAGTTATAACTGTACTTTACCATTAGTTATAACAGCTGTAATGTACCATTAGTTATAGCTGGAATTTACTAGTTATAACTGTAATTTACCATTAGTTATAACAGCTGTATTACCACTAGTTATAACTGTAATTTACCATTAGTTATAACAGCTGTAATGTACCATTAGTTATAGCTGGAATTTACCATTAGTTATAACTGTACTTTACCACTAGTTATAGCTGTAATTTACCGTTAGTTATAACTGTAATTTAACACTAGTTACAGCTGTAATTTACTGTTAGTTATAACTGTAATTTAACACTAGTTATAACTGTACTTCAACGCTAGTGATAACTGTACGCTACCATTAGTTATATTTGGACTATACCATTTCTAATAGCTGTACTATATTATTAGTTACATCTGAAATATACCATTAGTTACATATGGACTATACCACCAGTTATAAATGTACTATATCACTTGTTATATCTGCACTACACCATTACTTACAGCTGGACTATACTATATTAGCAAAAATGTACTTAAATGTAATTTTTTATTGCCAGTTTGAGAAGTCTATTGTCAATTGCTGCAGACTTATATCTGCTGAATATCAACGTTTGAGCAGGTCTAGATACATCCCTGGTTAACATGTAACAAGAAAGTTGATGTTACATAAGCATAAAGGACAGTCACAAGTTGTACTGATCAGATATAAATTTGGTGACAACCCTTTGCAGTCCAAACATTGAGAGTTTTCTCACATGCCAGGGAGGCAGACAACCTACTTGAGAGGGGGAACTGGACCTCTTCTCATTTGTTTTCCTCTTGTCCTTCTTCTCTTCCTTACGAGGCAGCCATCGGTATGGGTTCCTTACAGCCCCCTCCTCCAGCCTGTACAAACAACACACTCGTCTCAGTGGCAGGTGATGCCAGGAATAGATATCCTCAGGAATATAAAAAGGGGCATGTTTTACAGCTGGTGATTATTGACATAACGAAAGCCATCATTCCTGAATCTATGAGCGCAGGAAGTGTGCTTACTGACTGACTGACTGACTGACTGACTGACTGAGTTTGGTTTTACGCCGCTTTTAGCAATATTCCAGCAACATCTCGCCAGGGGACACCAGAAATGGGCTTCACACAATGTGCCCATGTGGGGAGTCGAACCCGGGTCTTTGTCGTGACGAGCCAATGCTTTAACCATTAAGCTACCCAACCGCCCATAGTGTGCTGACAGTAAATCTGTACTTCTACAAGTCTGTAATTTAACCCATGATCATATTCAGCCATTCAGCAACATTGTCCAAGGATTTCATGTAATTATATGCACTATGTTGTATTGAGCTGACTCACTCTGTGTCCACACGCTCAGTTGTAGCTGGCTCAGTTGACTTGGGCTGTTCTATCTCTTGAGCACTCTGGGTTGATATTGACCCCTCCGTGACCAGTGACCCTTCCTCCGACCCCATGTTCATTTCGGGGTCAAGGATGTCAACGATATCCTCAAACAACTGTTAAATATTCAAAAAGAGGAAATCAAAAAGTAAATGAAAAGTGAATAAATTTCCATTTAAACAGGTTGCTTATTGCTAATGGCAAAAGCGAATGACACGAGTGATCACACTAAAGAAACACTGTTAGGGAACCTAATAATAATATGATATAATATTTTATAAAAACAACTACAGTTATTTTTTAATTATAAAAGAGAGTCATTTTCATGTGCAGCTATGGTAACAGAAGAGTTAATTAAATTGTTAATGATATACAGCTAAAAAGTCATTTCCATGTGTAACTATAGTAACAGAAGAGTTAATTCAATTGTTAAGGGGGTCACAAAAACATTAAGTGTCATGTGTGCTGACCTCTGGAGGTACACTCTCCTCCAGATGAGGATAGAGAGCCAGTGGATGCTGCAGCAAGCCATACTCTATCTCCTCAATGTGTTCTCTCCTCTGCTGCTGTTGTGGAGTAATCTGAGAGTAACACACTTGGTACTTGTCCAAGCCGGGTTCAAGCATGGCTGGCTGCTTGACTGGGAGACATTCTCACTGCTGCCTGTCACATTGGGACCAGGTCCTTTCTCACCCTGTTTAGAACAGAGTTCAGGAGTAAGGAGTCAGTTTGGAATTTATCTCTGATTACTTGACAAAACTGGCTTCTTGTTGATAAGCTGTTAGTTGATATTTTTTTTCCATGTCAATAAAATGTATAAAAAGCTATTTTAACCATTTCTGGTTCCTAAGAAAAAGAATTAATATAACATTGAGAATGAATGTGTTTGTAAGTAACTATTCATCAGGACTTGCACTGGGGCATTCTGAAACTGCAAAATGCAACCTCATTTATGTACCTACTTGCACTCAAAGCATGTTATTAAGTTTCATATTCTGAAAAACTACCTTGTGGTCATGGCAATACCTTTATGAAAAACATAGCCGACTGCAGGAGGTAGACCATCTCTGAAATCATCAAGGCCATCCTTGAGAAACACCCAGTTCCTTCCACAAGGCTCTTGGATGTGTCATTTGGACTTAGTGACTTGATAAACTTGGTTCTTAGTCGCCCTTGTACCTATTTTATTCATAAAACAAATTTTATAAAACCAATACATGAAAATGTGTAAGTTAGGTTCATCTTTGTGAGGATTCAAAGCCCATTGAAGTAAAGAAAATGACACAGGTCTTACCCGTTTACCTCTTTAGTGAGGAAGGTAGGGTGCTGACTGCTGAGAATGTTTAGGAAATATGTTCATCATCAATGGAAACACATTGAGCCCAACTAAGACATACATGTATTTAGTTGTATCATCAATGAAAATAGGAACAATTACATACAAAAACAATGCTTTTAATCCACCCCAGGATCAGCCATGAACACAATGTATTACACCCAAAATGTGTCATTTCATTTATATAATCGATACATTAATCAGTGGAATATTCTGTGTGTCTGTGTGTGAATTGCAACATCCCCAGTAACTGCATGACATTATAGGCATCCTAACTACTGCTACATCGATAACAACAAGCGCCTAAAGTTCAGTTTATGCACATTTACAGGGTTATAGCTAAAACGAAGCACCACAGCAGAAGCGGCACCAAAATCGTTTGGCCGGCGGCACCGTATTGGCCAGCGGCTACTGATTTCTGAGCTAAAAGCGGCACCATATACAAAACACAGTATGATGTTGACTTTTATATTTTAGTTTGTTTAATTAAAACATTAGCAATCAACATATATAAAACACAGTATGACGTTGACTTGTGGTTTTATTTCATTTCATAACATTAGCAAGATTATATCATTGATATAGCTGGAATATTGCTAAAGCGGCGTAAAATCATAACTCACTCACTGACCCATTGCATTAAAATAACAAGATTATAAAGACGATAACAAAAGCACCGTCAACATAACACATAACACATGTTCACACGTCAAAGTCCATATTTGGCCGGATGCTTATACAGTGTATATCCCATGAATGTCTTCAGTTTGGGCGATTTGAGTTGAGTAAATGTACTTAAATCATCAAATGTTGTGATGTTTTCACGCTAAATTGGCATGCTTTTCCAATCACTGTCGGCACAGTAGATGTTTTGACTATCGAAACATTCTACAAGCCGATTATCGGCTATGGGATTCACTTTACAATCACTGTCGGCAGGATAGACTCATTCATTATCTAACCATACTGGAATCCGATTATCAGTTAACACAAACTTTCCAATCACTGTCGGCAGAGTAGATGCATTCCAAAATTCTGTATTCAGATTATCTAATGACAAATAAGATTTTCCCAATGATTAAGATTATTATTTGGTGCCGTTTTCGCCATAAGATTTGTAGCCGTTTTCGCCAAGTCGAGGTTCCGTTATGTCCAAATAGTGCCGTTTTGCTGTGGTGACGTTTTAGCCTGATCCCCATTTACAGTGATTCAGCTTGCCTGTGATTTACCTGTATAAAGCAAACAGGAGAACGCCGAATTCATGTTATATATGTACATTTTTCTGATGCACATTTCGGAAAGATAACCCCCGGGATTTTTTATCATTCTATGCCTAAAATCTATAGTAAGAATATATGGGTTTTTTTATAGAAAGCCTGCACTAACCCTAACATAACGATAAATCTAAATGTGAGGGTGAGGTGAGGTGAAATTGGGTTCAACGTCGTGCTTGAGAATATTTCGCTCATATGACGATGTGCATGCATGTGTATGTGCGGCTTCTTGTACTAGCCCAGACTTAAGCTGGTTTTATGCTAGCCCACTGAGATACCACGCGCGGTGAAGCATGAATACCCCACACAGAAATATTATAGTCATACACATTATGCTGACTCGAGCCGACCAGTCCTTGTTGTACCCATTAATGCCGGCGCCAGGCGGGGACCAACAACTACAATATTTTAACGTCTTTATGGTAAAGATGCGGTCGGGGATCGAACCCGCGACCTTCCGGGCGAACGCTCTAACCACTACACCACGGTGGCGGTCCTATATCTAAAGCTTAAACCTAACCCTTGAAATAATCATAATAAATAAAATATACATTTCAAGCGGGGGCTACGGGCGAACACTTACCAGGAACCCTTTATAATTCATTAATGGAAACAAGAAACGATGAACATCCGAACATTCACCTATCCTGGAGTCTGACTCCAGAGATGACAAAACACTAGCTCTTTCGTTTAATGTAGCAAAATCCAAAAACATAATAAAAATTGACCCAAACATGTCAGCGGCTTACAAAGAAAATATTTTACCAGGTCTGATGTTGTATCTTTTTATCTTTTTGGGTGTCGACAAGGGCTAAGTCATATTTAAGTTCAGCCATCTTCAGTTGTGTACTCCATCAGCCATTTGTTTACAGCCTGCTCACTGAAACCGGAAATTGGTAAAGTTGAAATGTAGTCCTTACGCATTAGATGCACTTCAAGGTACTTTAACCATACACTATACTATTCAATGTGTACGTACTATTAAACAGTTGAACTTTATCTCGTCATACGTATTTGTATCGTATTAGATCGTTTATCACTGAAAAATACACCGTGAGTAATTGTGTTTCCATAACAACAATTCATCCGCCAGTACTTCCGGTTAACTTTTCAACCAGAGTTTTGTTAATGCGCACAACATGTATACGCTTAACATTTTTCATTGTAGACGGAACCAGGTCTAATATTATCATGACCGTGCACTTCCGTATTTTGAGGTCTCTCGTTCAACATGGTGTAATCAGCAAGTAATGTAAGTCACACGTACCTTCAAGGTGTTTGTCATCAGTAGTCTTTAATGTTTTCAGTCTGTTTTAGTTGGAAAAGTCTACTCTTATCGTTTTTGATGTTCCAAAGATTAACTAATGGACGCAGATTCAGTCGTAAATCACTTCTTTTGTCCTTTTTTCCAAGTGAACATCTAGACAATGCTAAGGGTAGTTCAACGGCAAGTTCCTTTGGTTGACAGTCAAATCGGCCCAGCTACAAAATGCCCCAACAAATTTGGTCAAATTGCCCCAATTTATTTAAAATGATTAAATATATGCCATAAATGCATAGTTTTTGTGGTTTTTGTCAACTTCGATATTATATTCTGCATATAATAGTATCCAGGGTATATAGTAATACCTTAGTATATACCATACTTGTTGACAAAAACTATGCATTTACGGCCAATAAACATATTTATACAAACATTTCGTTTTATTCTTGTAATTCTTTACACGTAAAGAAAATAGTTAAAGAATACCTTTTGTAAAAAGCATTAATAACATGCAAATAATTGGTATTACAGTGTTGTCTATACAGGAATATTACTTTTGGTCTTATCAATTTACCAATGGAACATTTATCAGAAATATTACTACGTAATATTACATGAAGAATATAAGTCGAAGCTGACAAAAACTATGCATATATGACATATATATAATCATTTTAAATAAATTGGAGCATTTTGACTACCCCCTGTGACAATTTTACCAAAACTCGGGGGCATTTTGTAGCTGGGGCGATTGGACTGGCACCTGTTCCATTTCACCAGCTTTTTCCTGCTTATTTAGTACACATTGTGAATGAGGGATGACAAACTTCTTCAGGTCAGCTGCAGAATATGGGATTTATATAATGAATGTGTCAACCATCTATAAGATCCAGGCTTTTACTTTCATGACCCATAATATTTGATATTCTATTAAAAGTTTCTGAACATTGGAACTTGGAATGGATTCTACCACAGCTACCGTTGAAAAACAAACCAATGGATATATTTGGGATTCAAAACGAAGTTCACTGAGCACTCTAATAATATTTTAATTTACAATTGGGATATGTTAGGAGAATACAAATTACAATGTATATCAAAATGTGTTTATGTCAAACAAAAATAACAATCATCCAATATAATAATGTTGCATAACATTGTGGTTTATAGACACATATTTATTTATTTATCCTCAAGTTGAAATGATTACCTCCCTGTGAATGTAGAATGAGGGCAGTTTTATGGATATACAACTTCTATATTCTGTATAGGCGACATTTTGACACAGATTCTAATGTCGTTGTCAATCATGGATTCTAATGTCGCTGCCACAAACGTGTGTCTCATGTCAGATTCCAGTGTAGGAATGCTATTTGAACTGCTTCTTGTACAGTGTAGAAAATGTAATATTTTCACTTATAATTGGTTCGGATTATTCCAATTGTACTTTATCTTCTCAACTCTACCTTATGTCTATCAAACACCAACTTGACATCATTGTATTGTAGAACCTACGACAAAATAAATGTCTATGTGCCTTGTTATTTCCTTGCATTTTTGACCGCCTCCGTGGTATAGTGGTTAGAGCGTCCGCCCCGAGAGCCGAAAGTCGCAGGTTCGATCCCATCTTCGCCATACCAAAAGACGTTAAAATATGGTACTTGTTGGTCCCTGCCTGGCTCTCGGCATTAATGGGTACAACAAGGACTGGTCAGCTCGGAGTCAGTATAATATTTCTGTGTGGGGTATTCATGCTTCACTGCGGCATGGTATCTCAGTTGGCTAGCACTATAAAAGCGGCTTCAGTCTGGGCTAGTAGTACATGCAGCTGCACATACACGTACACATGCACCTACACGTACACCTCCTTGTGTCTATATTCAATTTCTATCGTTTTGTTCCTTTTCTTATTTACAGAAAAATGAAGTTTTTGTGCTGATAATATTTACAACATACAATCTGAACATGGCACATCCGTCCAGTGAGTTTAATGATCCCGAAGTACTTCGGACATGTCTACAAATGCTGGGTGATGAAGGTTCCAAACAGGAAGTGAGGGTTGCAGTGGAGACGCTTCTGAAGCTGAGCAGGTGATTCTCTCATTCCATGTTGAGTAACCCTGTCTGTCAAGGGCCAAAGGAGCATGTGGCATGAATCTGAGAGGTGGAATCTGATTGGTCCAACGGATGGACAAGCTCAGGATGATGAATGTTGTCTGAACAATCTTGGTTTATTCTATTTCTCCATCCCTTCCAAATCATTATACAATTCTCTTGCATGTTTTGGTTTGAAACAACAATATTTTGCATAATTATTTTTGTCTAATTACCTATCCAGGAATCTGAGCAGCCACCCGGGTGATGAAAAGTACCGAAAGATCCGTAAGGAGAACAAGGCTATACATGAAAAGCTACTTAAGTTTGACGGGGCCAAGGAATTCCTGCTGGCCATGGGATGGACAGAGGTGAGAACTTTCTGGACCATTCCCAACAAATGCTAATACATGTACTTTATTTTAGTGTTTACTATGCACACTAGAGTGTAATGGGCATCCATCATTCTTGGGTGTAAGTTTTAGCAAAAATTGCTATTTTACACACTGTCATATCCAACTGCAGGGCACAAAACACTTGATCAACGAAACTTTGAATCTACGAAAAGTCTGCTAAAAATATATGTTCTTTGGCATGTTATGCACAATAAACATGGTAATAATGATGTACAGTTTGCAATACAGAGTAAAATCAATGTCAGATTATTTCTATGAGCAGATAAGATCACGAGGCAGTGTGCGACCCAGTGGTAGACCAAATCCTGTCTAGCAGAGTTGTGGCCCTTGGTTTATCTGTTAGACATGGATTACATGTATGTCAGCAAACCATGCTTGTGTACTATTGGAAACATTACACTCTCTGTACTCATGAGTAGCCTTTCCCTCTTACTTGATTGGTAATATAACTATAAATAGACCCATATGAATTTATAATTAAGAAACGATACTCTCTCAAATGTTATTGGTCTATTAATTTTGACTATTTACAAACATTTTTCGTCTTTTATGTAAGCTGACTGACAGAATCTTCTCACTATGAAGGGTATCAGGGGTACCATGGTAACCAAACAATAAACCAAGTAATAAAAACCGCTCAGCTAACCCAAAGCTGGCATTCCATGTGGTGTATGAAACAATGTCTCACTGCGAGATATTAGGAATATCCACCTATATCCTGGCTGAAGATGTTTTGGAAGTCTGTGTGTCCATGAGTGTAGTTAGGAGTTAATGGTGGTGTTGGACTGCATATCGACTTGTATTATGTTACAGATTGACGATATGCTGATGTATCTGGAGGATCATGATCTCTCCGTTACAACAAACATCCTGGAGGAACACCTACAGTGAGTCTGGGGACATACACGCACACACCCCACACACACATCCCACACACACACCACCACCCCACCACCCACCCCACACACACACCCTGGTAGTGTTTCCTGTGTTCATGTAGATTTAATGAGGGATTTGTTTCCTGTATGAATTCAAAGAATAATTTTCAAGAGCCTGAGTTAGATTTCTGTCCTGTTCCCTGGTGTGTCCTGAATGTGGGAATTTCTTTAGAACTCAAATGGATAATTCAACTGTTTTTGCCACAAAACATTCTTTTTATCAAATGTTTTTGAGAATATGCTGCTTTTTATCTATGAAGTGAAAACAGATTGGAACCAAATATATAAACTAATGAGTGAAATAACCGGGCAGTTATTACACAGCTGTTAAGGGCTAGAAGAGTTATGTCCCTTTGAATATTGGTTGCTAAACTTCATCTGCGACAACAATTATGGAGAAATGCTTTATGTCCAATACTGCAGCAGAAATAGAAGAAAAATGCATCAAAATGGTTCTGGAAAACACACAAGTAGCACCTAAAATATGATGGGTAAATCTGTTTGAATCTGCATTTACTGAGGCTGAAGGAAATTTGGATTAAAACAGGCTATCTCGTACTACCTGTCAAAAGGCGATGTAACTAATGATATATGTACCATGTATACTGCATTGCTTCAGCACACTGCCACCGCCTCAGAGCGCAGCGACCTCCCCGCCAGCAGCGTCACCTGCAGCTCCCACTGAGACTGCAGCATGGACCGAGGCAGAGGTAGAGTACAAGTGTATTACCAGGAATTATACATACATCTATATATCTCCTTGAGAACTTTTCCACCACCTTGATCCAGATCTTCACAACTTGATCCAGACATATGTTTGAAGTTCAACATTGTTTTGTCAGAATTTTGTTGTGTAGAACATTCAGAGAGAAACTTTCTCGTAAATAATATCCTGCCTTGGTGATGTTTCAGCTAAAACAACGAGATGAAAAACTAGAAAAAGAGAAGAAAAGAAGAATGGAAGAATATCAAAGAATGAAAAAAGAAAGGGAAGCAATTAAGAAACAGGTATTACATGTTTTAGCCTAAGCGAATTATGCAACTCCGAATAAAACAAAAATGAACTTCCAGAGGATGGTACTCATATGAGATAGAGAATTCACTTCCAAAACAAAGCTATGGTCCAGGGGATCCTGGGGATCCACCACCGAGGTCTGGAGGATGTTCTGTGGACAGTCCGTGATTAAGCCTGGCTGGTCCTGAAGGGTTTTCATGGCAACACAGCCATCTCAACCTGAAGTTTTCATCCTAGAGGTGTGATCATTTCTTTGTGAACCGAATCACATTTTTTGAATTAGTGTTTTATATCATAATACATTCAGTCCTCAAATTTGGCATATGCACAAAGGCTATGGATCCTTTTTCAGATTAAAGAGGACAGAAAGGACACCCAGACAAGGGAAGTCAAGGACTCGGTATGTACAATTTTTGTGCCGTCCATATTGTTCATACCTGATTCATTGTTGTATAAGGTTTGGTTAACAGTTATGAAAATACTATGTTCTTTTGCGCCGTCTTCTTATTCTTTGGCAAATACAAAACTTTCATTAATCAATCAAAGGATTTAGTTGCAGAATGTATACAGGCTTTTGAAAGTATTTTTTTCTTGAAGTATCTTAAATGTCTTAAGATATTATGTTTTTTGCAGCATGCAAGACAGCTTAATTTTGGTGCCAATGTAAAGAAATTTGAAAACAGGGTAAGGTTTTAAAATCTCAACACAATGATGTTTAGGGACCGTTCATAATTTATGGCTTTTGTGTGTGTGTGTGTGTGTGTGTGTGTGTGTGTGTGTGTGTGTGTGTGTGTGTGTGTGTGTGTGTGTGTGTGTGTGTGTGTGTGTGTGTGTGTGTGTGTGTGTGTGTGTGTGTGTGTGTGTGTGTGTGTGTGTGTGTGTGTGTGAGATTTTAGGGGGAGTCCACCCATTTTGTGTGATTTAGGGGGAGTCCACCCATTTTGTTTTGTTTTCGTTTTTGGGGTTTTTTTGGGGCAATTTTGTACATAAACATATTTAAAGGTCACATGCAACCCAAACAAGCAAACATAATTAAATAACAATTATCACTTAATCATGACATATAATATACATTGCTGATTATGAAATAACATATAAACAATATTATAAGTGTTTAAAGTAAATCAAAAGTGCAATATTTTGTACTTGGATTTACTTCCCAAGAAACGAAGCAGCCGGGATACCGAATCCAGTCAGAGCGGGTGGGTGTGCACTCAAGTGTAACGGCTGGTTTGTTTGCAGATGCCCTCACGGCTCATTGTGTGTGTATATAGAGATGTTGGGTAACTTGGGTTTTGTAAATACATGCTCATTTTTTGTGTATAACATTTTGCAATCAACAGACATCAAACCATATCATGTGTACAAGTATCCAATCTGCCTGTCTTTGTAATTACATAAAGTGATTGAGACCGAACTCGGGCCATAAATCAATGTGTTTTGTTTATGGTGTATAGCCTGATAGGTGTTAAGTTCAAATTGCATGTGGTCAGTGATCGAAGTTGTGTATTGAATATTGTCATTAGCAGACAGGCAGGCAGACACATAGGTGTCAATAAAACAGACATTGAGTTTTGTCTGTGACAACAACATATCTATATCACAGTTAGAAATTCTGTCAATGCTAAATAATGACATTGCTTTTAAGTATCGAACTGAGAAAGTGACTCAGTAAGAAGAACGTGTGGTGAAAAAGACAAATGAAATTATATGAACAGTTAAATTGGTAATCTACTGTCATAACATATAAAAAGCTCGCGCCTGTGAAATATTAACAAAACATTAGAAAAATAGCTCACACCAAAGCCTTTTCTGAGTATTCACCGGACAACCCGCTTCCTAGCTGCACGAACCTATTTCACTGCACATGTGCTATGAGCGCAGCCCAGCGCAAGGCAGCCCAGCTGTTGAAACCACCTTTTCCCCCAAGTGCTGTGGAAAATAAGTGAATCGTTTGAACTCTGATTTCGCTTGTTTTTTTTCCTCGCGATATTTTTCAAGTTTATAAGTTGAATTTGCATTTTTGATGATTTGTTTGGTAAGTCCATACCGAAAGGCATCAGAATCTGCAAAGTTGTGTTTTACGTTGCATGTGACCTTTAAAAATTATGCTTAAAAAATATTGGAAGGGGGAGGGAGGTCATTGCTTTTGTACATGACATGGGTTGGGGGTCCCTTACTGGGGGGTTGTTGTCCCTTACTTTGTACATAAATTTTAGGGGCATGCTTCTCCATAAAAGTCATCATCACCCCACCCCAAGCCGTAAATTATGAACGGCCCCTCATTTGCTATATTGTTGGCAAATACTGATGCATTTGATAACAAGTGACCAGGAAGTGGTGGGTTCATCTAATATACATGTCATTAGTTCAATATGAGTGTTGTAGAAGACTGTCATTAGTCACCTGATCCATATGTACATACTGAAATCTTCCGACAAGTATGCTGAGAGGGTAGTTTTGCAGTGACAGGTTGTTTAAATTCTAGATTCACCCTAGAGCTTTGAGCTGCGATCTCACATTAAGCTCATGGAACTGAAATAGTGAACATGATCAGGTGGTCGGTATCGTTGATTTCACTGATGCATGTTTTCGTATCCCAATTGATGCACAATTGTCTGGTCCAGACTTGGGCATATTGTGACCACTGTTAACTAGATAAACTATAAACTGTTACAATGTTTATGTTGACAGGGTGGCGGATGAGGGTAATCTGACTTCCACAGCTGAGCGCCAACTTTAGTTCCCAGTGTCATCTTGTCAAGTTCAAACCTTCATTTCATAAGGGATACCACTGTCTCTAATCTCTGTCTTCTTATTGAACATCTCTCACAGTTTATTTGGTCAGATAATTTTAGCATCATGTGACTGGTAAAGTGCATAATTTATCTTCATTGGTTGGAGATAATATCTTGGGGAAGGGAGATAACCCACTGTGTTAAGATTAGAACTGGTATGTTAGCTTTTATAACTTCTGTCACAGAATCCGTTGTCATTTATTTGCATTTTTAGTTCAGTTATTGATGGGTGGCCCCCGGTTCTATGTTAATGACGACACTTGTCACAAGCCACACTGATTGGCTGGCAGGTGTCTGATCCTCGGAACTGGGGCTCTGGGAATTATTTGTGCGGTCTGTCTTGGGAGTCTGAAGTGTTCATATACTGTTGAATATGTGCAGTGAAGGGAGTTTATATGGTATAACGTGGTTGATGTGTACCAGATGTGGAGATTGTTTTCTTTGGGCTGAATGGATGTGAATATGTAAATAGACAGGTTTATCTGGCCATTAGTCAAATACAACACAATTCCCCTGTACAGTGTTGTGCCACACACACAATCTAATTCTCTGTGTCAATCTAGGTTACTCACACAACATAGTTTTCCTCTTACGGATCTGTTACACACACAACACAAGTGCCCATGTGGATCTGTGTTACACACACACAAGTTTCCATATGGATCTGTGTTACACACACAACACAAGTTTCCACATGGATCTGTGTTACACACACAACACAAGTTTCCACATGGATCTGTGTTACACACACAACACAAGTTTCCACATGGATCTGTGTTACACACACAACACAAGTTTCCACATGGATCTGTGTTACACACACAACACAAGTTTCCACATGGATCTGTTACACACACAACACAAGTTTCCATATGGATCTGTGTTACACACACAACACAAGTTTCCACATGGATCTGTGTTACACACACAACACAAGTTTCCACATGGATCTGTGTTACACACACAACACAAGTTTCCATATGGATCTGTGTTACACACACAACACAAGTTTCCATATGGATCTGTTACACACACAACACAAGTTTCCACATGGATCTGTGTTACACACACAACACAAGTTTCCACATGGATCTGTGTTACACACACAACACAAGTTTCCACATGGATCTGTGTTACACACACAACACAAGTTTCCACATGGATCTGTGTTACACACACAACACAAGTTTCCACATGGATCTGTGTTACACACACAACACAAGTTTCCATATGGATCTGTGTTACACACACAACACAAGTTTCCACATGGATCTGTGTTACACACACAACACAAGTTTCCATATGGATCTGTGTTACACACACAACACAAGTTTCCACATGGATCTGTGTTACACACACAACACAAGTTTCCACATGGATCTGTGTTACACACACAACAAGTTTCCATATGGATCTGTGTTACACACACAACACAAGTTTCCACATGGATCTGTGTTACACACACAACACAAGTTTCCACATGGATCTGTGTTACACACACAACACAAGTTTCCACATGGATCTGTGTTACACACACAACACAAGTTTCCACATGGATCTGTGTTACACACACAACACAAGTTTCCACATGGATCTGTTACACACACAACACAAGTTTCCACATGGATCTGTGTTACACACACAACACAAGTTTCCACATAGATCTGTGTTACACACACAACACAAGTTTCCACATGGATCTGTGTTACACACACAACACAAGTTTCCACATGGATCTGTGTTACACACACAACACAAGTTTCCACATGGATCTGTGTTACACACACAACACAAGTTTCCACATGGATCTGTGTTACAAACACAACACAAGTGCCCATGTGGATCTGTGTTACACACACAACACAAGTTTCCACATGGATCTGTGTTACACACACAACACAAGTTTCCACATGGATCTGTGTTACACACAACACAAGTTTCCACATGCATCTGTGTTACACACACAACACAAATTTCCACATGGATGTGTTACACACACAACACAAGTTTCCACATGGATCTGTGTTACACACACAACACAAGTTTCCACATGGATCTGTGTTACACACACAACACAAGTTTCCACATGGATCTGTGTTACACACACAACACAAGTTTCCACATAGATCTGTGTTACACACACAACACAAGTTTCCACATGGATCTGTGTTACACACACAACACAAGTTTCCGTATGGATCTGTGTTACACACACAACACAAGTTTCCATGGATCTGTGTTACACACACAACACAAGTTTCCACATGGATCTGTGTTACACACACAACACAAGTGCCCATGTGGATCTGTGTTACACACACAACACAAGTTTCCACATGGATCTGTGTTACACACACAACACAAGTTTCCACATGGATCTGTGTTACACACACAACACAAGTTTCCACATGGATCTGTGTTACACACACAACACAAGCCCATGTGGGATCTGTGTTACACACACAACACAGTTTTCCACATGGATCTGTGTTACACACACAACACAAGTTTCCACATCGGATCTGTGTTACACACACAAGACAAGTTTCCACATAGATCTGTTTACACACACAAATACACAAGTGTCCACATGGATCTGTTACACACACAACACAAGTGCCCATGTGGATCTGTGTTACACACACAACACAAGTTTCCACATGGATCTGTGTTACACACACAACACAAATTTCCACATGGATCTGTGTTACACACACAACACAAGTTTCCACATGGATCTGTGTTACACACACACAAGTTTCCATATGGATCTGTGTTACACACACAACACAAGTTTCCACATGGATCTGTGTTACACACACAACACAAGTTTCCTCATGGATCTGTGTTACACACACAACACAAGTTTCCATGTGGATCTGTGTTACACACACAACACAAGTTTCCACATGGATCTGTGTTACACACACAACACAATTGTCCACATGGATCTGTGTTGCACACACAACACAAGTTTCCACATGGATCTGTGTTACACACACAACACAAGTTTCCAAATAGATCTGTGTTACACACACAAATCCATGTTACACACACAGCACAAGTTTCCATATGGATCTGTGTTACACACACAACACAAGTGTCCACATGGAGTTACTGTATGGTGTGTTTAGGAAACAGTGTAATGCATGTCAACAAATACACCTACTCCTACAAAAATGATTGCCAGAGATGTTGTAACTTGGACTGACTGTTGTCATAACATGTGCAGTGTTGTTTCTGATGAATTAGTGAATAAACATGGCATTGTATGAACATCAAAGTTCCAACATTTGCACAAATGGAATGATATGTTTTGTCATTAAATAAATATACAACATTTTAATGATATCCCTCTTAGTGTTGTTACTGGCTGGGATTATTGACTGCCATACATAAGATAACATGCATGCATGAAAGCATGAGCCTGTGATATAGCCCGTGTAACGTAAGTGCAATAATGTTATACAATTTTAGACTGGTGATGAGGTCAGTACCTGTTTTTATGGACCCGCGAAAAGCAATATTGACCTCTGACTTCCAAGGTCAATATTGCTTTTCGCGGGTCCATAAAAATAGGTATTGACCGAATTCGCCAGTCTATAATTGTTTCATTATGTAATTACCGAAAAAAAGCTTCTAAAATCCAAAACATGTCCATTTAGTCAAGAAAAGTAATTTTATTTTCTCTATTATAAGGGTAATGTTATTTTTTGAGGGCATTATCATTTGCAGAAGCCCGAGGTCTTCCATTAACTGCCCGACGAAGGAGGGCAGTTGAAAAGACCGACGGCTTCTGCAAATGATAATGCCCTCAAAATAGCATTACCGTTATTAATGCTAAAACACATGGAATTTGTGTTGAAAAGAAAAAGGAAACAATGAAGGAATTTGACTGTAAGTTTACCCAAATCTTCTGACGGGTTTGACTGCCCGAATGCAATTACGTCATCGAACAATTCAAAGTGACGTCACAACAGAAAGTGACGATATACGACCTTTGCCTTTGACAAGACCGTAGCCTGCAACATGTCAAACTATGTCAGTGTTCGGTTTTGGTCCTTCAACAGTCTAATAGAGCAATTGTTTAAGGTTAGTACCAACAAGAAAAGCCAATATTACCGCTATTTAAAGCGGGAATTCGGGTTGCTTTGACTTGTTTGACCAGAGACATGGTCTCTGGTTTGATAACCAGAATATCTGCCAGTCGAAAGCCAATTAATGTCGAACTATGACGTCATTTGACAACAAGAACTGATAGTGGCCCGTCGTTAGGGTTGAGCGGTCCAATATCATTTGCAGCGGACCGCAAATTTCTGATAATGGGAGGGCCGTTTCGCGATAATTCCATGTATTTTAGCTATAAAACCAATAACGTTATGTCAACAATACTGTGACATGTAAGCAATAGAATGACGTCATATAGCTTGACGTCATAGTAACTCAGGTCAATATGACTTTTGGTCGGACCTGGGTTGAAGTCAATATTATAAAAAAGCTTATAGCTAAAATACATGAAATTATCATGAAACGGCCCTCCCATTATCAGAAATTTACGGTCCGCTGCAAATGATATTTGACCGCTCAACCTTAACGACGGGCCACTATCAGTTCTGTTGTCAAGTGACGTCATAGTTTGACATTAATTGGCTTTCGAATGGCAGATATTCTGGGTCAAACAAGTCAAAGCAACCCAAATTCCCGCTTTAAATAGCGGTAATATTGGCTTTCTTGTTGGTGCTAACCTTAACAATTGCACTATTAAGACTGTTGATGGACCAAAACCGAACACTGGCATACTTTGACATGTTGCAGGCTATGGTCTTGTCAAAGGCCAAGGTAGAAATAGCGTCACTTTCTGTTGTGACGTCACTTGAATTGTTCGATGACGTACTTGCATTCGGGCAGTCAACCCCGTCAGAAGTTGATTTGGATAAACTTGCAGTCAAATTCCTTCATTGTTTCCTTTTTTTTCAAAACAAATTCCATGTGTTTTAGCAATAATAACGGTAATGCTATTTTTGAGGGCATTATCATTTGCAGAAGCCGTCGGTCTTTTTCAACTGCCCTCCTTCGTCGGGCAGTTAATGGAAGACCTCGGGCTTCTGCAAATGATAATTCCCTCAAAAATAGCATTACCCTTATACTGTCGACGGTTACGTGACCGCCTCTAGACCAATCAGGTTGCCGGAAAAATATGCTTGCATAATAAAAAAATGGATTGACAGAAAACAGAAACCTTCACACCTGGCATGGTGTTCAGGGGCTCGTAACTCGAAGCAGTCGTTAATTTGTCAAGGATGATGGTTAAGCATGCATTATTTTACCGTTATGTAAACTCGTAACTCGAAGCAATCCTTAAAGTTAGGACAATCTTTAAAAGGCAAGTTGGCCACTGTGTTTAAGGTGTACTCTGACCAACCATTTGCAGTCTAGTCGTAATCCACATCAACGTATTAAAATGGCAATTGATCTCTACGTGAGAAATGGGAACAAACGAAGAATCCATAATGTCAACCGTGTGTTCCGCTACAGAAATACCCCGTTAGATACTTTGAATGTGGGCCGGTGGGGTAGTCTAGTGGTTAAAGCGTTCACTTGTCACGCTGAAGACCCGGGTTCGATTCCCCACATGGGAACGATGTGTGAAGCCCATTTCTGGTGTTCCCCGCCGTGATAGTGCTGCAATATTGCTCAGAGCGGCGTTAAACGAAAGTCACTCACTGATGGTGAAATGCAAGCAGGATTCAGACTCAACAGACCACAGATTTTTTAATTGTGTGATTTAATAAGAGATGATATTGCACGTCCTACATGTCGGTCAAAGTATATCACTACGAGTGCCATATAGCTGGAATATTGCTCAGTGCGGCGTAAAGCTAAACTCTTTCACTAAGAGTGGTGACAGCGCTTCGTTATGCAACTGGGAGTTTCTTGTCCGTCTGTGCAGATGTACAAGGTTTGTCAAAACTGGCAGCATCAAGATGTGTCCACGTGGTCTCAACATCATTTTGGCAAACATGCCAATGAGTATTTTAATTTTCCCAAAACACAAGTTTAAAAACAGAAAGTGAAAGCTGCTTTTAACCAGATAGCTAACTTTACCAATGTGCTTGGATCTATAGACGGTTCCATAATCCCAATCAAAGCGCCAACAAAAGATGAACATTTGTTTGTGTCTAGGAAAGGATACCATGGCATATATATTCACATTGTGAATGGGGCTCAACTGCATATCACAAACATAGTTGCACAATGGCCTGGCTACACTCACGATTCTCATATTTGGATGCTTGTCGTAAGAGGGGACTAACGGGATCGGGTGATCAGGCTCGCTGACTTGGTTGACACATGTCATCGGTTCCCAATTACGCAGATCGATGCTCATGCTGTTGACCACTGTATTGTCTGGTCCAGAGTCGATTATTTACAGACCGCCGCCATATAGCTGGCATATTGCTGAGTGCAGCGTAAAACTAAACTCACTCAATCACTCATATTTGGAATGTGTGCAACCTGAAGCATTCATTTGAACAAGGCTTGGTGGGAGATGGTTGGTTGCTAGGAGCTAGGGGAATCCCATTGCCTTTAACCTTGCCACTGTCCATATTTCGAGTTACGCTCAGTTACGGAAAACCTAAAGAACGCCTTTTAGGGATTGTTTAGCGAATGCTTTGTGACACAAAACTTCAATTTTTAACGACCCTACTGAACGTCCAGGTATCATCAATAAATAAAGGCGGGATTTAAAAGCAAAACCTTCTAATAAAGGCTGTGCGCTTTGAAATGATGTTAATATCGCTGAATTAAAAACTTCCTGAAGCAATAACAGATTAGGGAGGATCATTTTGAATGTTTTTCACAATTATTAATTCTCGTGTCTTTTTTTTTAAATTATCTAGTTTCAACGCACAGTGGCAAAGAAATTTTAAATATACAAATCTGATAAGTTGGGTACTTTTCAATGTGACCATTGTAAGTTAGTATTATAAGGATAATGCTATATTTTAGGGCATTATCATTTGCAGAAGTCCGAGGTGTTCCATTAACTGCCCGACGAAGGAGGGCAGTTGAAAAAGACTGAGGGCTTCTGCAAATGATAATGCCCTAAAAAATAGCATTACCGTTATTATTGCTAAAATATGGAATTTGTGTTGAAAGGAAAAAGGAAACAGTGAACAAACTTCTGACGGGGTTGACTGCCCGAATGCAATTACGTCATCGAACAATTCAAGTGACGTCACAACAGAAAGTGACGCTATTTCGACCTTGGCCTTTGACAAGACCATAGCCTGCAACATGTCAAAGTATGCCAGTGTTCGGTTTTGGTCCAACAACAACGTTAATAGTGCAACTGTTAAAGTTAGCACCAGCAAGAAAGCCAATATTACCGCTATTTAAAGCGGGAATTCGGGTTGCTTTGACTTGTTTGACCCAGAATATCTGCCAGTCCAAAGCCAATGTCGAATGAACCGTAAGCCCAGGCACCCACTATGACGTCACTTGACAACAGAACTGATAGTGGCCCGTCGTTAAGGTTGAGCGGTCCAATAGCATTTGCATGCACAGCTTGCAGGAATGGTACTGCTATAGGAGCCAGAATCTCGTCCCGATAATGCTGTTCGGTACGATTACCGTCGACAACATGCTGTGGAGTACGTCCAGTAGGTGTTATCCCTGCCCAAACCATGACCGATTCCCCGCCAAATCGGTTATGCGTGGCCACAACTGCATCTGTGATTCGCTGTCTATTTCGACGATAAATCCCCTGCCGACCATCATGGAAGGACAAATTGAATCTGCTTCTATTTGTGAAGAGCACACGAGACCACTGACGTTGATTCCAGCGGCCATGATGTCTATTCAAACGCGCTTGCCTGTGACGCGGTGTTAGTGGTGGACGATCGCCAACTGCAGGTCGCCAACAGCGGAGTCCGACTGCCCTTTAAAGTCGCCGAACGGTGCTCATGGATATCCTTACATTGTTAACATTAAAGTGTGTTGTCTAAAGATCTGCTGCGTTACGGAATCTGTTAAGTAATGCAGTTAATCATGTGCCTATCATCACGGACTGTTGTGACTCTGGGCGACCTGTTCGACGTGCATATTCGTTCGACCCATGGCTTGACCCTTTCAGCAAGTGCCCCAAAACGTCCCATTCTAAGCTGGTAACAGGTAACAGGTAACTGAACAGTGAACGATGGTGAAAAAGCAGCAATGCATGTGTATTGTCCTCCACTTTCCATGGATAGAGCGACTTGCACGTGCAAATCGTTGATATTAAGTGGCAGGTGGATTTCCATATTGACAATTTGAATTTAAAAAATGTGCAATTTGTAACAGAATGTATCGGACCTTAAAGAACGTAATAATGACATTTCAACGACCTGATGTGTTTTTCCATACTGTTAAGAAAGTTTGTAAAACATTCAGTTGTATATATTTCAAACAAAAACGAAGATTTTACAACTTTTAAGAAACACTGTTAGCAATAGCTTCACCCTTCATTAATGACGCCGAGTATAGTTACGCAGTATACCGAGGTTAGAAAAGAGAAAGTACGACTAAGTTATGTAACACGCAGGTCGCACCTTTAACACTCGTGACTCTGATGTAAAATGTTTTCGAACAGTTGGATACTTGTTGCAGTAATGAAACAACAAAATGTAATGTTTTGTTGAATACAGGTAGTTTGTTTTTTAAATTTCTACAGCAATATTTTGTCATAACTACCAACTGTTTCCATTTGTGTCAGTTCATATGTGGTAAGCGGCCAGTTGGTTGATTTGGTTGAAAGTTGGTACTAAAACTATCTCTTTGTTCTCGATAAGTACATGATGTATAATGAGTACAGTGAGTCCAAGTGATCAACATAATGGATTGTCTGATAAATACTCACCAACAAGACTGGAGTTCCCATCAACTTACTTCATCAACATGTATGCGTGCGTAGTTTTAATAGGATGCATTTATGAATTACGGCCTGTGCGAAAATAGTGATATATTTATGTTTCATAATTTACCATGAATTATTATATATTTAGTCTTACACATAAAGGTATCTCGTTGCAAAGTCAAGGCCATGTTTGTTGTGATTAAACGCTGTGTGAACTGAGAGGCACGACTAAGATATATAACATAAGCAGGCTTCCAGATCAATCAAAATCCATCACAAAATCCTCAGATTTGCCTGAGAAGTATTTTTTCTTCAGTGTAAAGAAGGCTAACAATGATGCTTCCAGCTTGACCTTAGAAATTGTCGTAGTTGTCTGTACGATATACTCTGGAAACCATTGCAACATATTTAGAGTTCTTTTATATAGATCCTATCCGAATACCCATATACGTCTGTCAACATCGTTTCCTGCAGTTGATCAGAGTTTCGAAAAACACGCCAAGTAGTTGGACGGATTTGGATCTGTAATTGTACATACATTATTTAACGCTGCTCTTCTCTGAATGGCAAACACTTCAGAAGGAGATCGTACGACATTCCCACCGTTTAACTCACTTGCCCTTCACATACTTTCCTGTTATCTGTCATGAAACGTGTCCAGCAGTCACTTATGAAACAGAGGTAATCCATTTCTCCTATGCCCCTCGATACCCATCACCATCCTAATACAAGAGAATATCCAATATGAACTTGATGTTAACTTAGGACATAGGCATTCGGGGTTTGCAAGGTGAGCTTCACAGTTGGAGTTACATCATTACTGTCAGTGACGCAACGGAGGCACAGAAGCAATCGCCCTCCAGGAACATGGACGCCACGTCAACTGCTGTGATTGTGGGCTGGCTCTTGGTCACCATTTTTCAAAGATGTATTTGCGGAAGAACGTATTATTACAGGATGGAAAGTCTGGACAACAGTGAAGTCACAAAAGTACCATCCAAAACCTACACAACAATATCTGACGTTGGCCAGTGTGCACGTCTTTGTCGCCAACAAGACTGCGTGTATCTCAGACATGATGGCGACGTCTGCAGTTTGTATGACGTTCTCATCCACGTCTGTTTATCACCATCCCCTGGCGCAATCTACTATCGCAGTAAGTTCACGTGCTTTGTTTAACGATGACATAAAATATTCGCGGAAGAACGTACTTAAAAAACAGGAATCATAAATATTGTTGAGGATATTCTATACAAATTCGTGGCCACCCTATCTCACTATCACAGTATTAAGTTTATTAAAGGCGTTCAGAAGTTGGACGAACATGAATACATGACACACTTTTATGGATAACAACTTTTTTTATTCTTTATACGACGTTTCACAGCTAACTATTCCTCATTCATCAGGTGAATGCTGAGTCAGTGATCATGATGGTGATGGTGATGATTTCATTTAATTAGCCAGTGAGATTGGCGGTTTAACAATCTACGACAAATACATCACGCCACATATCCACCAATGAGATTGGCGGTATAACAATCTACGACAAATACATAGAACAAAATTTGGACTGATTGTTGTTTGTAAAGGCGATAAATTTACACGCTATAAGGTAACTTAATATTACTTTTTGGATGCTTTTAAAATTAGGTTTTCTCCCTTTTCTGCTCATATTGTAAATATTTTATATATGTGACAAATGACATTAAGTGGATTATTATTTCTCCCCTTAAAACCAAAAATAATACTTTCTGGTGTTTAGTCAATGTATCCTTCAGCCAACCTTTCTAACCATTTAGCCATCTCTTTCCACACTTTGCTTGAATGCGTACAGTCGCATAATAAATGTATAACACTCTCAGGCACAAACGAACACATAGGTGAATCAATGTAACCAATCTTATGCAAGTGATTATTAGTTGTCAAAATATTCTGAGTTATCTTATATTGAAACCATTTTAGATCGACGCTTTGAGTACATCGATTAGCCATCAAATTAATACTTTCCATTCCTTCTGTTGGCAGTCTTTATTCAATATTTGTTTCCCATTTTAATTGGCCATTTGTTTTATTAAAATAAATTGACATAGTGTTTTATAGAACTGTTTGCTACTAACTATTTTGGAGATATTATAAGGTAAAATAGGGTAGGCAAGTATGTTCTCCACATATTTAACGGTGAAATTCCTCTTTTTAATATATCCAATGATTGCTCTTTTAAGTCCTTGGTATGTAAGAAAATCAACATCTATATCATATTTATAATTCAGGTCTTCCAAAGACAGTTTGTTACCGTCCACATTGACTATATTTCTCAAGTATGTTATTCCCTTTTCCTCCAAGTTCCTGTGATAGACTGTTTTGCCACCGATCAAAATATTGTTATTGTGCCAAAGTGATTGATTTAGGACCTCTGTATTATTAATTTCATTCTGATAACAAATTGTTAAATAGTCAGACCATGCCTCCACAACCTCCCTCCAGAATCTATTTGAAACATTGGGTACCATAGATTTGTTAATATAAACACCATCAGCGAAGCATAGTTTCTGAATATTTGGAATACATAGTGTGGCATTTTCTATGCATGTAGAATTGTCACATAACAGTCTTTTAAAAATGGAGTCTTGAGGTGAATACAGAAAAGAGAAATATAATAGTTTTTAGAAACGATGGTATACTGCGAAGAAATGAGAAATGGTACTTTGGTGATAAACAGCTAAAAAGTGTTACTTACTATAAGTACTTAGGGTTAATATTCTCCTCAAGGCTCTTATGGTCAAACGCTTGTAACACTCTTGCTGCACAGGCAACTAAAGCAATGTTCTCTGTATTCCATTTATTTAGGAAGAATAGCTTTATCTCATTTACTACAGCCTGCCAAATATTTGATACGAAAATTGCTCCTGTTTTATCATACGCAAGTGAAATTTGGGGCAATAATTATCATCATGAAATAGAGCAAGTGCAAACTACATATTTTTAACGATATTTAAGGGTGGGAAAGTTTGCATCCAATAAGGCCATACTTGGTGAAACTGGTAGGTATGATATGTTTATATTAACTCAAATACGATGTATTAAGTATTGGATTAAGTTGTTGCAAATGAATGTAAATCGTTACCCATATCAATGTTATGTTTTACTTAAACATTTAGATGAAAATGGAAAATGTAATTGGGTGTCCAACATTAGAACAACCCTGTTTAGAACAAGTTTCTCATTTGTGTGGATATTACAAAATGTTGGTGATGTAAATGTGTTTATAGTGAAGTTTAGAGAAAGATTGATTGACATATACAAACAAACTTGGCATGATTCTATTTGTAACTCGCATTATTTAACGGACTACTGTAAGCTGAAAGCAGTTCTGGAGCCTGAATGTTATATTTTACAACTGAATGATAAGTCTCTTCTAAGAGCAGTTTGTAAATTTAGAATATCCCTACATAAGTTTAGAATTGTTACTTACAGGAGAAATAAAGACAGTGGGAAAATTAGTTGTATCTGTAAAAATTGTAATCTTGGAGCGATTGAAGATGAATACCATGTTTTTATGCAATGTACAAAATATAATGAAATTCGGAAAAAGTACTTGCCACAGCTGAATGCCATGCCCCAATGTGAACAAAGCATGATAAATGTATTACACTCCAAAGATTTCAATGTTATTAAATCAGTTGCTCTGTTTTTTAAACATCTGTTTAAACATTATATATGAAACTATCACGTGGCATTGTAAAATATTGTTTCAATTGTATTAAAGGCCGTTAGGCCCACATTACTGGATAAATATGTCTGTCTGTCTGTCTGTTTAATCCATGCAAGTTTTTGGGATTTTATAATATTTTTACTATTGGAATATTGAAACCTCCATATTCAACAATGGTAGTAGTAACCTTTGTTTTAATTTTATCCTTATTGCCCTTCAAAATGAAATTAAAGCATTTCTTCTGAAAAAATTGAATCGTATCATCTGTAGTGCTTGGGATAGCTGAGAAGAGATGATTTAATTTTGACAGTAGTAGTGATTTCAGCACAACGTTTCTTTCCATAGGTGTTAACAATCTTAATTCCCAAGTTTTCATCTCTCTCTCAATTTTCCCAAGCTTGTCATGAGTATGAATGATCGACATAGTATTGTAGACATTAACAATTCATTGACATTTTATAGATGTTTGAAAAGAATGATGCTAATGTGAACAAAATTAGTATATATTTCTCTACTAGGAAATGCAAGA